TTATATGTTGGTTTCACAATAAGAAAGTAATTACATTTAATGGAAACTTAGGCACGCAAAAAATTTCATAGAAAAACTTAATGACCTGGAAATTTTGAAGAGATAGTGAGATCTTCTTCATTGGAAAAATCGCTTTTGAATTGCATACATAATTGCCGATAAAGTGATTCACTTAAAAAGTACCCTAACAACAGTTGATAAGTATTGCCAACTCTCAATAAAATTGAAGTATAAAACGGCTAAAAAAAGACACTTACTTAAATAGTATTTGAAAGAGTCAAGTGTTTAACCCAAAACAAGGCCAATTATCCACTAAGCTAAGCCTTATTATCTACATGGCCTGTCCTAATTGAGAGAACAAAAAATTAGATGCCAAAAACAACTAAGTCAAACGTGATCTATAAAGACGATATTGATCGAAGGAGAACAAGTAAGCTACATGTAAGAGTGAGCATGCTTCAACCTGACTAATAGTTAGCGAGCCTGGTACACTAAGGTGATTAATTAAAGGGCCGTAGTTAAACAGGTCACTGTGTCGCTCTAGAGGAAAATAATAATAATACTAATAGGAATAAGAAAGTTTCGATATGAGTATGTGTAGTTCTTATTCAAGAATAATGCTTCCAGTATTTGAAGAAGTATGAGTGAGAGACTGAGAACTAAATTTCGAAAAAGTCTTGAAGACAAGACATGAATTATGTCATGGTGCTAGATAATATTCTTCGAGAAATAAGTGATCATACCTCATCCTAACTTTTTACTCTATTATTTTGATGTTAATCCCTCAGATTATTTTATCTATACCTTAGGCAAAATTTTTTAATGAATTCAACTTTTAACGCCAAATACCTTATTCTATTTTATGGATAGGAATTGCCGTTACAGGCGTATAATTCTTGTCCAATATGCATATATTATTCACGATATATAATGCCAGAGTAAACTTATCTTTTTAATATTTGCTGAACTAAATCAAACGAAATCGTTTTAGAGCTATCAAGGTTATAAAATACAGATTAAAATGCATTCTTTTGATTTATGGATCCTTATCGGTATCTCATTTGCTCAAACCACATAATATAGAGAATGACTAAACCTTAAGAGCTTAATTAATCATTGAGACTTTGGGAACATTAAATCGGTCAAAAAGTTAATTTTCCAGGTAGCCAAGCTGACCTGGTTTTCATTCAAGGGCGGCGGAAGAAATATCCCATTTCCTAAAAACGTCTGGCCGGAGCGATCAGACTCAGTAGTCGGCCCACCAGCTCCACTGCCAGTGCCGCTTACACCACAAGAATCATTGCCAGTGGCGAAATTCAGTCCCCTGGATGCCTCACCGAAACCCATAAGGTTGTGACTATTTCGCATAGCCGCTGGAAGGTCACTTCCGCTGGCTGGCGAGCCAGCGAAGAAAGCAAGCACACTCGCAGCGTAAGATGTGGTCCTGTCGGAGCTGATAGCAGGATCTGTGCAGGAAAGAGGAGTCGATGTCCATCCTGTCTGAGCCAGATGATTGTGGATCTCTTCTTGCGGTGAGGGATAGTTACGAAATAGATGTAACTTGGGTGGGAATCGGTCGCATAACAGAGAAGTAACGGTGACCCTGATTATTGAAAAATAAGTATAAGGTTGTAACAATCAAAATTCGATATGATTAAGAAAATTGTGGAGCACACAGGAAATTCCGTTTGAACCCGAGGATTATGCATTAATGATTTCTCTGTTGGAAAAGAGAATTTAAAAAACCTTAATTTTAATGATACCTAGGTCTTGCAAGTGAAGCAAATTTTTTGCAATAAAGGTCAGAACTTTAGATAGAGTAAAATATTATTGCTACTACAAAAGAATATTAGTAGTAACGCTATCTGTACTTCGATATTTTGATAGTCAAAATAAAGGTCAAAATAATAAAAAAATTCCAAGATATGAATGTTTATGGGTAGACGCATTTTATATATATATTCATAAACACAGCTTTAATGTTTATTCAGCAAGATAGAGCAAGATACTTTATTATTAATAATTAATAGGCAAATAAGGATTAAATCTAGCATTTATAGAAAGCCAAATTTGGGACAATGAATTTTTCAATAATTGTTGTGCTTATTTGCACGAATTTCTCCGGAGCATCAACGAAATTTGGAACTGGGTCAAATAGGTCAAACAGAAACGTTACTAGCCTGCTAAATAGCCATGGAATCAAAGAGGCATAGAACACATATATGACTTTAAAGGAAAGCAAGCCTTTCCCAGATCACATTTATAGTATGATTTTTGTGGTTGAGGCAATTTTGTAAGACTAGAGTAGATGACGTTACTTATATATGCATTGAGTAGGTTGGCATTTAAACAAGTAAATAATATTTTATAAAAGGTATGAAGACCAAGATCGTGTGGCCTTTTGTGTGGTCGCAGTCTCTTTTCGTTCTATAGAGGTTGTTTGACCTTGTTTTCGCAACATAGTCATATTGGTAAGAAGAGTTAGAGGAACGCAACTAGTCCGAAGTCCATTGTCTGAATGATCATTTCCAAAGTTGAACAGTGGACGTGGTACATTCTCAAACGTTTCACCGGCATCATAGTCGGCATCGTCAGTGAGCATCGCCATTCTTAGCACCATACAACAACTCGTCAAAGAGACAAGTGAAGCCGATCCTTTAAACAAACGTGTGCTAAACAATTGTGGTATCTCTCCTTCTGCCCTGGGTTATTCGCGTTTTCGGTAGCATCCTATAATGCCTTCACTATTGAAATTTTTACCGTGTTTATTTAGATAGTATGGTGTGTTCCTTTGAGCGACATGACACCTTCACACTCCAACTGTCGTTCTCAACCCCCTTCATCTTTGTGCAGGATGGTGAGTTTTGCCATTCTTATCCCCACACTGCAACTCGTCAAAGGGACAAGTAAAGCCGATCCTTTGACCAAACGTGTACCAAATAGTTGTGATATCTCTCCTTCTGTCCTGGGATATTCACCTTTCCCATATTCTTGAATCACGCCTTCACTATCCCAATTTTTCCCTTGCTTATTTAAACTGGCGTGGTGTGCCCTTTTGAGCGACTTTAATTAGAACCCTCCACACTCCACGCTAGCGTTCTCACGTCCCTTCACCCTTGTAGTCGGAATGTTGATCAGTCTGCTCTATTGTTACACAGTCCTTCTCCCTAGGTCTTATCAGTCTCCCTCTTGCCCAATAGGATCCATCTGCTATCTCTCTGATTCAAGTATTTCATTCGACCCCTGCCACCCTATCTGTGCTATTCGAGGCCTTACTACCCATCCCCTGTGGCTGAGCCGCTAATTCGAGGCTAAAGCTCATGAGTAAGTATCATGGTCAAGCCTTTGCTACATGGACCACGTCTATGGTAAAATAGGCCTACTGTCAGCTAACTGGCTCCAGTCTCCACCGCGTCAATTCTGTTTCTATCCGTAATACCAGGTCTATGATTTGCATAGATGAGGTGGCAAGGGTCGAGTGAAATACTTGAGCCAGGGCGATATCAGACTGATCCTACGGGGCAAGAAGGAGACTGTGGTAAGACCTAGGGAAGGAGGACTGCGTAACATCATGGCAGATTCTGATTAAAATTCGCTTCACAACAGTGAAGGGTTCTCATGAAAGCCGCTCAAAATCGCAAATCACACAAGATTTAAGTAAGTAAGGAAAAAATAGTGATAGTGAAGGAGTGATACGAGAATATGGGAGAGGTGAATGGCCCAGGACAGGAAAGGTACCACAACTGTTTAGCACACATTTGATCAAAGGATCGGCTTCACTTATCTCTTAGACGAGTTGTAGCGTGGTGTTAAGACTGGCAATGCTCACTGATGATGCCGACTTCGATGCCGGCGAAACGTCTGGGAATGTACTCAGTCCAAGGTGCGACATTACAAATTACCATGCATACAATGGACTCCAGACTAGATGCGTCTCTATATGTCTTCCTACTAATATGACCAAGTCGCGAAAACAAAGTCAAACAATTTCTATACAACGAAAAAAGACTGCGACTACATAAAATGCCACACCATCTTGGTCTTCATAGCTTGATTAAACAACATTTTGGATTGTGACTGCCACTTAAAGAGCCCTAGAGTTGCTAAGGTATTATTCAAGATTTATTGATGCTTTCAAAACCTTATGGCAACGAAAATAAATTGGATTTAAAAATCTGAATTTGTAAATGGAATCTATGTGTAGAAAAAAATAGAA